TACTGGCTCACGTCTTTTGAATATTTTTCTATGGGGCTCTTGCCAGGGTTGCCAGTACAAAATGGCCTTGCTCAATCCGTTTTGGTGAGACTCTGTGGCATGAGATCACTGCTCATTTTGGGACCCCCGATATGGCCTGGATAAGAAGTACATCTTGGATCAGCCAGACTCAGGTACCCTACTTACTTGAGTTTGTCCCTGGGGGAAGTTACCTCTCTTCTGGGATGCTGGGTCTCCACCTTTGGGGTCCAGTCTACAGGAACACGGAATTGCTCCGTGGTCACATGCAGCACACCCAAGGTGAATGGCAGTGGCCATAGAGGGTCACATGATCCACGGGGAGGATCAAAGGCCATGTACTGGGACAACGCTGTCACGGCAGGGGGCCTGCCTAACACTGCCGGGGTCAGCACTGAGCCTGACTGGTGTCCTCTTTGCCTGGAGAACCCTGTTTTCTTGGCATGGATGACTGCCTTGGATGGTGGGGACCTCAAAACTGGTTGTGATGAGGGTAGGACCTGGATAGGGGCCAGGGTGTGGGGGACAGGCCAGGATCCTGAGACATGAGGTCTGGGGAGCACAAGGGGGTGGCCTTAGGAGGCAGGATGGGACAGGGTCCCATTACTTCCAGGCTTCCGTAGTGCCCAGGACGACACACAAACCTCTGGACAAGTCTATACGGTTGGTGTAAATGACTACTATCCCCTTTTTACTTGGGCTCAGAGAGGTGAGGTCACTTTCTCAAGATCAAACAGCCAGCAAATGACAGAGCTGGGATTTGAACCCCAGTCTGTCTGAATCCCCAGCTCCATGCTCCTAACCAGGACCGCACACTGTGTGGCCATTGCAAGGGCTATTGCCCTTGCTTCCAGTTGGTCAGTCCACAGTGGGCACCTGGACCAAATGCCAGGGGGAAGTGCCCCACAGAATTCTCAGTGGAGCAGCTTTAGACAAGTACAGTATACTTAGAAGGCACCAGCACTGAGGAGTAACAGTGATGAGTGCCACTAACTTCCAGCTCTTATTTAACCCTGGTAGCCCTACGAGGTAGGTCCGGTTCTTGGCTCTTTTTTAGAGATGGCCAAACCGAGGCACAGAATGGTGACGTCACTTTGGCCAAGGACCCCCCCCCCCAGGAATGAGGGTTAGAGTGGGGACACAGGGTCCTATCTGTCTCTAGCCAGGGCCCTTGCACCAGCATTTGGAGGGAGGCAGGAAATGGTATCCAACGGAAAAGGTGGGGAATCCGTGGAGGGGGCCCTCTGGTGGTGGGCACCGTGGGCAGCATCCACTGTGCCCTGGAGCTGAATTTAAATCTCTGTTCTGACATTTCCTAGCGGCGGGACCTGGGCAAGTCATTTTACCTGCCAGAGTCTCAGTTTGTCCATCTGTAAAATAGGAATAGGAATAGTGGGGACTTCTCGGGTAGCTGTGAGGATTCGGCAACAGAAAGTGTTCACAGGTTATGATTAACACATGGTAATGATGACAGATAGGAGTGCCAACGGAGTGATTCCTTCCTTTCCAGGGATGGGAAGATAGCTGGAGTGCCCCCTCAGGTCCAACTCACCAAGGGTACAGGCAGAGTAGGGAAAGGGCACCCTGGAAATTTTAGAAAGTTATTTTGGGGCAAATCAAGGACAATCCTGTGATCTTGTGCCACCTTCTCCCCTCCTTCACTGGCCTCCTTTCTGTTTTTCCAAGGCCAGGAAGTCTCAGCCTGCTTCCCACATCAGGACTGTGACCACTTACTAACTCCTGGCTAATCTCCCCCAAACCTCTGCCTTCCTCACGGCCTTCACTCCCCAGCTCAGACACCATCCGTGGCTCCCCATGGTTCCCAACGTCCACTGCCTACCTTCAACCTACCCTTTCAAACTGCCTTCCTGTCCAATCAAAACAAAGGGACCCCGTCAAAATATTAAATCAGATCATGTCTCACTCTGCCCCAATCTCCCCTTGGGAGAAAAGTTTTGCAAATCTTTTATCGGATAAGGGACTTGTATTTAGCATCCATACAAAACTCCTACAACTCAGTAATAAAAAGGCAAATAATGCATTAAAAACTAGGGAAGGGATCTGACTGACAGTTCTCCGAATAGACATACAAAGGGCTTAGAAGCGTATCATTCTTCATTAGGAAAATGCGAACCAACACTCTGGGATACTACCCCGCACCCAGCCCAAGGATGGCTATGGTTTAAAAAGATAATAACAAGTGTTGGAGAGGATGTGGAGAAAATGGAACCCTCGCGCAGCAGTGAGAAGGTAAAATTGTGCTGCTGCTCTGGAAAACGGTTTGGCGGTTCCTCAAAATGCTAAATATAGAATCACCATGTGACTCAGTATATTAGTCAACTCGGGCTGCCATATCAAAGTACTAGGAGGCTTATCCAACACACATTTATTACTCACGGTTCGGAAGGCTGGGAAGTCCAAGGTCAAGATGCCAGTGTTCTTAGTTCGGCCTCATGGGTTTTATTTAATTCAGTCACTATTATTATGCTCAAATTGTCCTGGTTTTAACCAGTGCGGAGCCTCTGCAAGCGGGCTCCTGCCCTTTGGACATAGCTCCATCCTTCTTTGAGTAGCTCTGTGGTTTCGGGCACAAGATGTTCCAGGCTCATCGTGTGCTTTCCCTGGCCCAACCTGGAATTTAGCTTTTTCTCCTTGGAGTCCTGACTCCCTTGGTGGATCTGGGCACGAGGTGTGCTCCTTGTCACTGGGGTGTCATTGCCCCTGGGGCTTCTTAATTGGACGGAGCAAGGGAATGTGTATGTAGATTTCTCTGCCTAAATCTGAAAAACCACAAGTCCACGCTGATATTTCCAATTCAGCCCACTGCCACAACAACCTTCCGAGGCTTCTAGCTTTCTAATATCTGTATTTCTCTTAGTGATAAACCTGGATCCCAAATCAGCATTACATTTATTCATTTGCTCAATCCCACACTACACAGAGAATAGTTTCAGAATACTACTTTGTAAAAACAAACTTATGACATAGAGTTTAAGATTCGTGCAGTGTGGTTCTGTGATTTATTTGAAATAAGTCAGGTTTGTTTGTCTCTGCTTGCATTCCTTTTTATGGATTTTTCCCATACTGTTGATTTGAAAACTTTTTTAACTACGCAAAATACCAACACATTTCCAAAAGTCAAAACTATACAAAAAGAGAACACTGTATGTTAATGATACTGGAATTATTAAAAAAAAGGAAACTACAAAAAGATATCGTCGTAGACATGTCATTCTCTCTCCTAACCCTCCCACCCCCTTCTTATCCACCTCCTTGGGGAACTAATTTCATTAGTTTTGGGTTTATCCCACCTGTGTTTCCTTTGCAAAAATTAGAAGAGTCAAGTACGTTTTATTTCCCCTTCTTTCTTACACAAAAGATAGCATACTCTATATACTTTTTCACACTTTGCTTTTGTCAACGAACACTATGTCTTAGTAATCACTCCGATCCAGTTTATAGAAAACTTCCCTTTTCTTTTCCTTTTTTCCTTTTTTTTTTTTTTTTTTACAGCTGTGTAGTACTCCATTGTGGGGATGATGCAGTTACTCAACGAATCTCCTACGTATAGGCATCAGGGTGTTTCCAATATTTTAAAATTACAAACAGTGCTGCGGTGAACAACCTTATGTATAAATATTTAGGTGGAATTACTGGGTCAGAAGGTAAATGCATGTGAAGTTTTTCGAGATACTACCTATTTCCCCTCCATTTAGCACACCTACCAGCCATTTATGTATGTCATTTCTCCAGGGTCATCAAGAGAGCATGTTGTCAAGCTTCTTAATTTTTTCTAATCTGGTGGGTGAGAAGTCATTTTTTTTAAGTTTTTTTGAAAAGTAGTACAGTTTCTGTGCAGTCTTTATCCAGCTTCTCCCAAAGATAACATCCTCCATAACCAAAATCAGGAAATTGACATTAACACCTCACTTTTAACTAAATTACAGACCTTATTCCAATCTCACAGTTCTCACATGCACTCAAAACTACTGGTGTATATTTCTATGAAATTTTATTCTCAGTGTAGCTATAATTTGCATTTCTCTTATGGCCAACGAAGTGAGCATTTTCCATAAGTTTAAGGATCATTTTTAGATCTTTTTTTCATGAATTATCTGTTCATATTTTTTGTCCATTTTTCTATCCGGTTTTCACATTTACCCCCCTCAAATTTAAAGAGTTCTTCATATACTAATGATATTAGCCTTTTAACTATGATATATGTTGTTGTTGTTGTTTAAAGATTTTATTTTATTTATCTGACAGAGAGAACACGAGAGAGGGAACACAAGCAGGGGGCGTGGGAGAGGGAGAGGCAGGCTTCCCGCTGAGCAGGGAGCCCGATGCGGGGCTCGATCCCAGGACCCTGGGATCATAACCTGAGCCGAAGGCAGACGCTTAACGACTGAGCCACCCAGGCGCCCCTATGATATACATTGTAAATATTTTCTCCTTGTTTGTTAGTTATCTTTTGACTTTGCTTATGGTGTTTTCCACATGCAAAAGTTACAGAAGATTTTATATAGTTAACGGTATTAATCTTTTACTACATCTGAATTTTAAGTCATAGTTAGAAGGCCTTTTTCCACACACAAGTAATGGAGGAATTCACCCATACGTTCTTCTATAATTGCAGTTTTATTTTTTACATTTAGATGCTCAGCATTCAGGAGTTTCTCTTTGTGTGTGGTGTGAGGAGTGGATCCCGGAGCAATTAAGTAAATATAGCAAAATATTGGCAATTGATGGCAGGCATATGGGTATTTACCACGGTTGCAACTTTTCTCAAGGTCTGACAATTTAAAAAAATAAACAGCTGTGGGTAAAGTGTGTTAGGCGGAGTTTGTGTAGGTGGACGGAGACGGGGGGGCGCCTTTAAGATGGGCCCCGCCCACCCCGGAAGGGCTCGCCCAAGCCCCGCCCTCCGCCGCGCGCCGCCTTCTCCCCGGTCCGCGCCGGCCCCGCCCTCCGCAGCCGAGTAAAGTCACGTGAGCGGGGCTGCGGCGCTCCGCTCCGCGCCGTCATGGTGGCCCCGGTGTATGGTTCCCCCGGCGGCCGCCTGGCCCGGGCGCTGACGCGGGCGCTGGCGCTGGCCCTGGTGCTGGCCCTGCTGGTCGGGCTGTTCCTGAGCGGCCTGACGGGCGCGATCCCGATCTCGGGACGCCAGTGGGGGCCCAACGGGCCGGTCCCTCCCGAGTCCCGCAGCCGCTCCGTGCTCCTGGACGCCGAGACCGGCCAGCTCCGCCTGGTGGATGGCCGCCACCCGGATGCCGTGGCCTGGGCCAACCTCACTAACGCCATCCGCAAGACCGGGTAAGGGTTGGCCCGACCCCGCGCGGGACCGGCCGGGGGAGGGGCTCGCACGGGTTCCGGGCCTCAGCGCCCCTGGTTCCCTGGGGGTCAGTTTCCCCGCCTCTGAGGCTGCAGCAGGTCACTGGTTGGGTGGGGGCTAATGCAGCGTCCCTCAGCTCATGGGGACCAGTCCCTCGCCTTCAGTAAAAGGTGACAGTACCTCTGTTACACTTAGAGACCAGATCCCTGCCACCCAGGCCCCAGTGCCTCCATCTGGATTAGGTCTGCGGAGCACCCCGTCCCCCCATCCCCACCGCCCTTGGGCCAGAAGGCTGGTGATAGCTCTTCAAGAGAGAAACTCTCACTTCCTTGAGTGTGGCTTACCCCATGGGTGCCATGCTCCTGCCTCTGTTCCTGAACCAGGGCAGCCCGACTGAGCCTGGATTCTAGGCCAATGGGAAAACCCAGGATCCCTAAATTCATGTAGACCCAGATAGTATTTTTGCTTGGGCTCTGCTCCTTTCTCTCCTCCTTCCTGGTCCAGGGGAAAGTTGCTTGGCCAGATAGTTGGTATGGAGCCAAGTGCTCCATCCTTGGTAGTCATGATCAGCTGCTGTTCTGACTCCCCTGCCTGTCTGGGCTCCCATTTCCTTATCTGTGGCTCAGATTTTGAGGATATGCTCTGGCTGGGAGGTTGGGTGGTACCCTCCTCAGGCCCTGTACCAGGGCTTCTGCCCATGCATTCATTCATTCATTCACTCACCTGATGTACTTGGCCTTGGGGACATAGAGCTGAGCAAGATGGGTCTCCGTTTAGAGGGGGAGACAGAGAGCACCAGAAGGGTAACCTGAGTCAGTGGGAGTGGGAAAATCTGCCGTAAAGCCTTGTCAGCAGGGCTCAGGCCCTGGATTAAGGCTATGCTGGGGATCTTTTAGTGAACCGTAAGGCCCCCTCCCCGTTCCACCCTCCCACTGCTCCCATCCATTTTGCTGGCATGCATTAATTCCTGCAGGTGTTGGGGAGATAGAGGACACTGAGAACACCCCCATTTTGATGCTTTGTCGTACTTGGGAGGGTATCAGATAGACAGACAGAGGGCAGATTGTGAGGAGGGGATTTGCTGCAGACACAGGAGCTGGGTGGGGCTAGTCTGGGAAGGCTCCCAGGGAGAGGAGGCCAGAGTGGGCTAGTTATTGTCCATGGAGGGAACTAGAGCTCTGTGGCTCTGGAATCTGATGACCCATTCTCTGCCGACTCACACATGTTTTTGGCCCTGCTTAGCAAAGCCAAGAGGGCATGACAAATCTCTGCCTCCACGCTAGCTAGGAAGGAGGCACAGAGGTGAGGCCCAGCATGGGAAGGGGGCCTTGTCCTCAGGAGGCCCCCACTGAGCTGTGTTGCTCTGAATTATGGAAAACAGAAATGGAGAGAGGGCTTCCTTGATTGTGCTGGATGGAAAGCTCTTTGGGGCCCAGCTCCTTCACTGGGTGACCTTGGGCAAATCGCTTCGCCTCTCTGAACCCGTTTCCTCCACTAAAGGTGAGCCTTGAAGGGAAGTTCAGTGGGATCACAGAAAGCACCTCTGTTTGTTTACTGAAGGAAGAAATGAGTGAAAGAGAAAGGAGCAGGTGTCCTCTGCCCCCCATTTTACAGTGAGGGAAACAGGCCTGAGGCAAGAGCCCAGGTCTCGTCCACACTTCTTGCTCTCATGTCCCCTTTCCAGCATCGTTTCTGTCCACTTGGCCTATTTAGCACTGGGGGCTGGGCTGTAGGGAGAACTGTATCAGAAGCCCCTATTTTGGGGTGCCTGGGTGGCTCAGTGGGTTAAGTGTCTGCCTTCGGCTCAGGTCATGATCCCAGGGTCCTGGGATCGAGTCCCTCATCAGGCTCCCTGCTCAGTGGGGAGCCTGCTTCTCCCTCTGTCCCTCCCCTCTGCTCATACTCTCTCTCTCTCTCACTCTCTCCCAAATAAATAAATAAAACATTTTTGAAAAGCCCCCATATTGGAAACAGGGAAACTGAGGCCCTTAAGATCGACCTCTTAGAACTCAGGGATAAGATGAAAGAAAGACATCTGAGGTTTCCTGGCCCCCGATCAGCAGAACCTCTGAACTGTGGGTGCCTGTCTCATTTTTCAAAGGATGGAGGCCAGGGATTTGACTCTTCCGTTTACCTGTTGGGATCTTTCCTCCTTCTGTCCCCCAGAACTCGCCACGGGGGATCTTGGGATTGTCAGGATAAATTCCATGCCCTCTTTCTCCCCCGTAGTCTGTCCTCTTTCAGTTGTGCTGTATCTGACTTGGGACTGATACTCCCCATGAAGCCTGAAACATTTAGGATTTGGTGCTTGGGCATCAGAGGTCCCCCGGGGGCCGAGCCTGCACCAGTTTGATTCCAGCCTTGGTGTTGGGGAGGCTGCACCCCTCCAGCCCTACCTTTTCCTCCATCCCTGACTCCCCAGCCAGCTGCCCAACAGAAATCACGAGTCACTGCGGAGTTGGGAAAGGAAGTGAGTACCAATAAGAGGGAATTACCCTATTAAGAAGCAGGGAACCCACTCAAATCCACCAACTAATGAGCAGAAACCCAGCCCAGTAAAATGGGTAAATACCATCCAGCTGTTCTTGGAAGTCAGAACAGGTGAACATATTCCATCAAGAGTGAGGAAGGAATGGTAGGCACAGATAAGGTAGGAGAAGTGTCCATGGTGCACTGTACCCAGAAGCAGGGCATGGTGACTGGGGGAGGTTTGTGACCCCGCCGCTCGTCACACAGCAGCGGTCTGGTTTTTCTCAAACGTGGCCTCTTTAGACCCTGGAGCCATCAGGCATTAGGCACCCATGACATAAAATCACAGTGTGGCCCATAGACTCTCCAGATTAAAAAAAAAAGATAAAGAAGATTGGAGAAACAGATTAGTACTGCCAACTTTTTATTTTTGTCAAGTGAGTGCATTAAAAACACAACAGAACAACATTTATTGACCTCCGTCAATTTTATCTCATAAAAGATCTGCTATTTTAGAACCAAGTAAACAGGAAGGACGTGTTCTTTAATAGAGAGCAGTCTAATGGGTACATTTAACTTTAGAAACGCTTGTCAGTGGTTTTCTTTTGACCAGGAATGGGGATAGAGTTTTGCAAAGTTGTCAGTCGGCACAGCGGTGAGGGAATCTAGAGGCCGTTTGCCCAAGTTCAAGCCTCCCCCATTTTACAGATGGGGAAGTCGAGGCTGGAAGGGCCAGGAAGTGTAGTATGGAGCAGAGTTTACTATCAGAGAGATCTAGGCTCGTATCTTCGCCTGCCTCATCTCTGTGGCAAGGGTGGTGAGAACCCTTTAGGATGGGGGGAAGGGGGGTGAAGGGGTGAGGAATCATTTGATTAGGCTTAGGGCCCGAGGCAACAGAGGGATCCTCAGAGATCAGCCTCAGGGGCTCCGGCACTGAAGTCTGGTGGCTTGGAACAAAACCCCTTAAATGGGAACATCCCCCGCCCAAAGTGTTCTGGAAAGAAAGGTGGAAACCCATCTCTCTGGGTTTTTCTGAGGACTCAGGCAAAGTGAATAAAACCCATCTAAATGGAATCACCCCAGTTGCCCTTTGGAACAAGGCAGCGCACAAGGAGATGGGGGAGGGTGGTGATTGTTAGACAATTAACTTTTTGTGGTGAAAAAAAAATCCCAGCGGTTTAGAGAAGTTAGGATGTGTGAGGTAAGTCCCCACATACATAACCACTGTTAGCTCTTTCTTCCACAACTTTCTATGCAAAAATAGGCCTAAGTGTGCATGCATATGTGTAAGCGTAGGTATGCGTGCGTGCGTGCATGCATAAGTAAAATGCTTGCACACACAGGGTTATCCTGAGTCTACCATTTATCCTTCTCTGATCTTTTTTTATGTTGTCTCTGACATCTTGTCAGCACATGGCAGCCCTTTCTCATCATAGCAGTTGCCCTGTTATGTCATTACCTGCTTATGTGCTCCCCCCCCCACAGCCACCCGTCACCCCCACATCAGCCTTGGGAAGGCCAAGCCTGAATGTCCTTCACTTTTGTGCACCCTCGGTGTCTGGCACCCGGTAGGCTCTCAAAATGGCTTGCTTGATGAAAGTATCAGGTGAGCGTGTTTTGATCGTCTTTTCGTCTCCAGAGTTCTCTCTAGGCCACAGCTCTTCTTGCCCTGGAGCTCTTGGATGGCGTGTTGGCCACCTCCCCATGAGACCGTCCTGGTGGAGCCTGGCTCTGCCTTGTTTCGGAGCCTCTTCCTGGTCTCATTAGTGTCTTCCTGTGCCCCTCATTTTCTTCGTGGAAATTGCCTTGACAAATGTTTGTCCCCGAGTTACAGAAGCCACCTGGGTGAATAGTTTTCTGTCCTAGGAGCAAGAATGAAATCCAGAACCATAAAGGAAAAGATGGATAGATTTGGCTGCCCAAAAAAACCCAAAAACCTCTATATGGCAAAAGCAAAAGCAAAAAATCAATTAAATCAATTAAAATACAAACATATTTTCAATATTAGTGACAAGCAAAGGGCTAATGTGTACATAGAGAACTTCACAAATCAATAAGAAAAGATAAACACAAGGGAGAAAAGTGAGTAAAGCCCTTGAACCAAAGAACTATAGGTGACCAATAAAAATTTAAAAACAAGTGTAGGGGCGCCTGGGTGGCTCAGTCGGGTAAGCGTCCGACTCTTGATCTCAGCTCCGTAATCTCAGGGTCATGAGTTCAAGCCCTGCGCTGGGTGTGGAACCTACTTTAAAAATAAATAAATACATTAGTGAATTAAATTAAAAAATTAAAATAAGGATAATTGAACTAATTAAAGGATTATCATCAAAACAACATGATTGCATTTTTCAACCACTGCCTTGGCAAAGATGAGAAAGATTGCTAGGAATCCTTTCAGGCAAGGAGTGGACAGACAGGAGTGGGTACATTTTGGCGAGGTGGTCTACAGCCAAGCGTGGTTGCAGGCTGGTGGCGCTGGCCTCACCTGGCCGCTAGTTAGAAATACAGGGTCTTGGGCCCCTCCCCAGACTCCTGATCAGAATCTACTTCCGAACCAGGTCTTTGAATGACACGGATGCACGTCAGAATTTGGGAAGTGCTGCTTCCCAGAAGGAATGGGAGCCAGTCTGCTTGGACTTGAATTCCAGCTCGGCCCTTTACCAGCTCTGTAACCTTCAGCAGGTGTATCAGCTAGTGTTAGGCAACGGTGCTGTGTAACGAATTAGCTGCCAAACCCACTGGCTTCAAAAATAACCCAGGGTTATTTTCGATGGATCCAAGGGGCAGCCAGGGCAGCTCTGCTTCATCCTGTGGGTCTGCAGAGCTGGTCTGCTCCATGTTTCTGTCACGTTCCTGAGAGCAGCGGGCTGGCTGGGGCATGTTCTCCTGGCAGAGGCAGAGGAGGGCAAGCGGAAACAAAGGCGGCCTCGCAAAGGCTGATCTTATACCTGGCACATGGTCGCTTCCATCCATTGGCCAAAGCGAGTCATATGACCGAGCCCAGATCAGTGGGGCGGGGAGGGACTTGGCCATGGGTGGGAGGGACCGCAAAGCCGCACGGCAGAGGGCACAGAGAGGGTGGAGGGGTAGTAGCGCAGGCTTCCATGGCAGTTACGGAACTTTGTGCCTTAATTTCCCTCCTCTTCTGCACTACGGGGAGTAACAGTGCCTGCCTGGCAGGAGCGTGGGGTTGTCACAAGGATTGAATGAGTTAGTAGACAAAAAGTGACTAGAATGTCATCTAGCACAGAGGAAGCCCTCGTTTGACGCTGGCTGGTGAGGGCTGGATTAGTACAGCTTTGGTGGGGGGGGGACGTTTGTCAAGGCTGATTAAAATTAAAAATGCCTGTGCCCCCACGCTGACCGGGCCCGCCCTCCTCCCTGTCTAGGTGGGCCTTTCTGGAGCTGCAGACGAACGGCCGCTACAACGACAGCCTGCAGGCCTACGCCGCGGGCGTGGTGGAGGCCGCTGTGTCTGAGGAGGTAAGGGCCAGATGGGGGGACCTGGGGCTCCCACCCCACCCAGCGTGCACCCCAGGAAGCTCGGAAGGGTTCTGAGGTGAGGTGCGTGCAGATTGGGCTCCCTGCTCCCGCCCCCAGCCCTCCACGTAATTGGGCAGCCAGAGCTCACGTGCAGTCTTTAAAAAACTTAGGCTAGGTAGTATTTGGTGCGTCTGAAGGATGTATGACGTTTTCTGAGTCACAGAGCACAGCAATAAAACAAACATCCAGACTAAAACGTACAGTGTTACTGATCGCTCTGAGGCCCCCTTCCTAACCCCTGCCCCCAGAGGCACCATCACCCTAAATGTGACTTTCTTTCTTTCATTCATTCATTCATTCATTCATATTGAGATATCATTCACATGCCATAAAACTCACTATTTTGAAATGTACAATTCAGTGGTTTTTAGTATATTCATAGGGTTGTGCAATGATCACCACTACCCCATTCCAGAACATTCTCATCACCCCAGAAAGCAACCCCATACCCAAAGCTCCCTTTTCTCCCTCACCCCGGCCCCTGGCAACCATTAACCTACCTTCTGTCTCCATGGGTTTGCCGATTCTTGACATTTCATGTGAGTGGGTGGTCTGTGTCTGGCTTCTTTTCCTCAGCATCGTGTTTTCAAGATTCATCCCCGTTCTAGACTGTGTCAGTCCTTCACTCCTTTTTGTAGCCAAATAATACTGTCTTGGATGGACGGACCACATTTTATTTATCCACACATCCGTGGATGGACACTTGAATTATTTCCACCCTCTTACTTTTGTTAAACTAGTTTTACCACACGTGCAGAATCCTCAGACAACCTACTGTTTTGCTCTACTTGATCTGGGGCTTTAGAAAAGTGCTAGCATCAATTTCAGAAGGCGGCCCATCTCAGAAGTGGGCGAGACTTCGTGGTGACAGCCAGTCTCCTGCAGCGTGGGGGGAAGTGTGACACCCACTTGGGAAAGTCATTTGGCAATGGTAGCGTCGAGTCCACGCGTGCCCTGGGGCCGCCGAGCGCCATATGATAGACCTTTGGGAAGGAATCAGCAAGACGATGCCTCCTGGAGGCTGGCTGCTGAGGGGGAAGGGCATGTGACAGATGACTGCACACAGGGGACACCCCCTTATAAAACTCATACTCCTCGTTCTGACACCCAGCAGCCGTTTTGGACATCCGCTTGGGATCTGGATGTCTGGGGAGCTGCTCAGACGCTGGGCGAGGCCAGTGCTGCTTGGGGTGCAGTGAATGAGGCAGGCTTCCGTCTTTCAAGGGTCCTGCTAGCCTGTCAGGAACACTGAGGAAAGGCCCCAGGGGCTGTCCTGTGTGGAATCCCGGACACATGTGCCAGGAGCTTGGCCCGTGTTCTCTCCCTCAGCCCTCACACCAGCCTCCCCGCCCCACCGAGGGAAGCGTGACTGCTTACCGGGGCTCAGAGAGGTGAAATTACTCACCCAGGGTCACACAGCCATTCATCAGGCGGGCCAGCATTCAAACCCAGCTGTTTGACCAGAGTCTCTGTTTCTGAGTGTTTTGCTCTGCCGCCCCCCCTCCCCCGCCCCTGCACCCAGGCCAGAGCCTGATATAGGACAGGCACTTGGGAAATGCTTCTGGAAGTAGTGGAAAGGTGTATGGAAGAAGTGGCATCTTTTTGAGGCCTTGGGGTACAGAGGAGAAATCGAATGTGTTTCAGGGAGATGGCCGTGGAGCGGGGCGCGGGGGGCGGTCCTTAAGCGATCAGTCTTGGGGTACCAGGTGCTGCCACAATCCCTTCACTGGCCTGTGTGTCTTGGGAATATTTCCAGTGTGGCGAGGGGTGTGGCTGGAAGTTAACCCGGCAGCCTTTGGGAAATTACTAATCCACACCTTTCCAGGGTTCAAATTTTGACTCTTTCATTCAGTACCTGGAGGACCTTGGGTAAGTTAGTCACCTGCCGGTGCCTCGGTGTCCTCCGCTCTGAAGCGGGGATGGTGAGGATAGCGCTCTCCTTGCAGAGTTGCCTTGAGCTTTGCGTGGGTCTGTTCATCCCGAGTGCCATCCATGTGAGTTCCGGGCGATGGACCAGGTCCCCGTAGTGCCACAAGATAGGGGACGCCCCTGCCCCTGCTGGAAAGACAGGATTCCAGGCCAGGCCTGGCTGATCTTGGCTGGGCCCACCCATGCTTCCGCGGTCAGCTGGCAGATCAGCGGGGGCAGCTGGGTGGCTTCGAACGGTCTCCTTCATGTGTCTGGGGGTTGGCGGTCTGTCAGCCCGGGTGACGGGGCCGACGGGGCCGATGTGGTGTTGAATGTGCCCTGTCTTGTTCATGTAACATCAGGCCAAGAGGTGTGGAAGGCCTCTCGACGGCTGGTTGAACCGGCCCAGCATTCACTTGTGCACGTGCGTGTCACTTGTGAGTTCTCTGCCGTGTCCTTGGGGCTTCGGACAGGACGCTGTAGGGGCGCGAAAGTCGTAGTTTGTTGACCGACTGAATACATCCATAGCTTGGGGGTCTCCAGTAACAGAGGATGCTCAGTCGAGAGCAGACTTTGAATGCTAAAGGCTCTCAAAGGAGGGAGACATCCAGAAGCTTTGGGCCCTGATGGGACAAGAGTGGGTTGGGTGGGAGGGGCCTCGGGGGGTTGAGAGCCAGCGGGAGCAAAGGTGCAGAGGGGCCTTACCAGGGCACCATGGTTCTTGGAGGCCTGAACGGGGTGAGGAGTCTGAGCCCGAGTGGGGAGCCAGCGGGGTCCTCGGCGAGGCTACCCCGCCCCCACCCTCGCCCACCTCGCCTACCCCGCAGCTCATCTACATGCACTGGATGAACACGGTGGTGAATTACTGTGGCCCCTTCGAGTACGAAGTCGGTTACTGCGAGAAGCTCAAGAGCTTCCTGGAGACCAACCTGGAGTGGATGCAGGAGGAGATGGAGCTGAACCAGGGCTCTGCTTACTGGCATCAGGTGGGTGTGGCCCCCATGCTCTGTGGGAGGGGTGGCGGGCTGGGTCTGCTCTGGGGACCTGCCACCGCTGTGGCTTCTGCTGGCCAGCTGTCTGTGTCCCAGCCCTCTTTGCCAGCCCTCTCCCCCTCCCTCCCTCCCTCTCCCCCTCCCTCCCACGCAGCCGTCCGTGTGTCTAGTCCGTCAGCACACGCACCACCCACGGGCTTATCTGTCTTCCTCTCTCTTCCTCTCACCTCTGCTAGCCCCTGCCCATCTTCGGCCAGTTCTCAGTTCTCCCACCAACCACCTCCCCAACTGTTGACATACCCCCATTTTGCTGCCTGTCCGTCTCCCTGCCTGCCATCCACCTGTCTGTCCACTCCCCCCTACACTTTTTCCCATTTACTTGCCCAGCTGTCTGTCTGATCGTCCACCTTGTCTGCTTCAGTCCCCACTTTCTCCCAGCCATCGGTCACCGAAGCACCTCTCAGTGTCAGTCTGTCCGTCTGTAGCTCCACCGCGGCTGCTCTCTCTCCCCACCCAGGGCCGCCCCGTTCCCTGGGGATGACGCACGCACCCTGTCCATCCCCAGCTTCGTCTCCTGCTGACCTCCTCGCTCTGTGGTCCAGCCTCCCTGACCCCCTGGTTTCTCGAACAAGATGTGTTACCTCTTGCCTCAGGGCTTAGGACCTGCTGCCCCTTCTGCCCAGAACACCTTCTTCTTCTCCCCACCCCTCACCTCTGTCCCATCCCCACACTTCCCTGTGGCGCTCTAGTGAGGGACTCAGTCTGTCTTCAGGGAGACTCGAGCCCCACGAGGGCAAGGCAGGGACCACATCTGCTTTGTCCACCACAGTATCCCTGGCGCCTAGCACAAGGGCCGGCACACAGCGGGTGCTTTATGTGTCAAGGTTGGTTGAATATTTAGAGATGAAGGAATGGATCGGTCCTGTCCTGTCTGCCCATCCAGTTTGTGCACCCGACTGGACATCTGTCCTTCTGTCCACCCTGCCATCCACCTGGACGATTGCTTCTCCGACCTTCCCTCCCTTCTACATAACTTAGCAGCCACGCATCCATCTCTCAGTGCTGCCTGACTGTCCGTCTGTGTATCTTACCCTGTTGTCTACCCGTCCATCCCTCTTGCAGATGCTAACGAAGTACCTGGTATATACCCAGCGCCGACCAAGGACACACGGGGGACACAGTGATGATCTCCCTGGTTAGAGAGCAGGGACAGTGACCATGGGGAGAAGTCAGCTAATGAGACTGTGTCCTCAGGCAGCAGTGCAGCCAGGAGCTGAGCTCAGAATAGGGAGCCGTTGACAGTGGGTCAGGGCTGGCTGGGAGGCTTTCTGGAGGAGGTGGCTTTCAGTTGGACTCTTAAGTGGGAGTGATTTAGGTTGGCAGGGGGCAGAAACATAGTTAACTAAGTGATGGCAAGAGAGTGCTTGGCACATAGGGCTGGGTGCTAGGAAAGGGGGTGGTCAGGGCTGTCAGGATCCTGGAGGATGCACCTGGGCCCCTCCCATTGCAGGAGAAGGTGGGAGCGTCAGGGGGAGAGGCCTCACCCCATCTGTGCCCCCCCCCCCCAGGTGCGGCTGACCCTCCTGCAGCTGAAAGGCCTCGAGGACAGCTATGAAGGCAGTATGACCTTTCCAACTGGGAGGTTTACCGTCAAACCCTTGGGTTTCCTGTAAGTGCCACTCCTGGAGCGGACAGGGTAGGGGAGAGGGACATGCACCTCATGGTCAGAGAGACCTGGGTTCCCATACGGGTTCTCCCACCTCCTGGCCCAGACTCGGACCGCTCACCTAGCCTTCCAGAGCCTCAGCTTCCTCCTCTGTGAAAGGGGTATGGAAACGCACTCCCGGCAGGCAGGCGTGGTAACCCTCCGGCCCCCCCCACCCTTCTCAGCCTGTTGCAGCTCACCGGGGACCTGGGAGACCTGGAGCCTGCCCTGAATAAGACCAAGACCAAGCACGTTATGGGCTCTGGCTCTTGCTCTGCCCTCATCAAGCTGTTGCCTGGCCAGACGGACCTCTTGATCGCCCACAACACCTGGACCTCCTACCAGAACATGCTGCGCGTCATCAAGAAGTACCGGTTCCAGTTCCGGGAAGACCCCCAAGGTTGGTGGACATGGGTGTATCTGTGTGTGAGCATGCGTGTGGGCACACAGTGCAGGGGGTGCGGGACTCCGGGAGCTTGTGGGCCTTGGCCCTGTGCACACTGTCCAACTGCTCTAGGAGTCCATCTTATTGTTAACATTTTTGTTTCCTTTTAGTTCCTTTTCACAAGGTGTATCAGTTACCTGTTGCTGTATAACAAATCACTCCAAATTTAAAACAACAGAAGCTTAAAGCACGACCGTTTATTTTTGCTCAATGTGTCTGTGGGTCAGCCGGATGGTTTTGTTATGCCGGGCCGGGCCTGGCTGATCTTGGCTGGGTCACTGATGCTTCTGCGGTCAGCTGGGGTGAGCTGGCTGACCGAGGATGGCCTCATCTGCGTGTCTGGGGGTGGCTCTCAGCTGGGTGTTGGCGTCGCTGGGCTAGCTCAGGCTTATTCTTGTGACATCTGGGCAGGGCAGTGTGGAAGGCCTCTTGAAGGCTGATCGAAACAGGCACAACATTCTTTTGTTCAAAGCAAGTCCGGTGACCAGCTCTGATTTGAGACGTGGGGAAACAGAGCCCAGCATTTGATGTGAGGAATCGCAGGGTCCCACTGCAGATGGTAGGGATGCAAGCATGGGAAGAATTACAGCAGACACTCAGTGCAAACACTCAGCTACACAAGGAATGCATGAATACATGAATATGCTCTTCCTGTCAAACGTGAAAACTTTGCAACTAAGGCCCAAGTGCCCCAGCGTGGCTCCCCCATCCAATCCCTGGCCCCAGTGTCCACCCCGGAGGTAGCCACTGCCAGATGTTTGCAGTGCCTCCTTCTTGGCAAAACTTAAAAATCGAAATGTTGCCAGGAGGTGGCGAGGGGGTGGAGAAATGTATACCCACATCCTCTGCTAATGGGAGTGAGTACCGGTTGGCGCCGCTGCATTGAGGAAGAACCCCACCGGTACCCAGTAAAATTCGAAATCTGTCACTCCCATGGTCCAGCAATTCTTGGCTCAGATCTGTCCCTAGAGAAACACTTCGACTTCTGCACAGGGATGGTGCACAAGGATGTCAACTACAGTAATGGTTGGGAAACAACCTAATGCCCGTTAACTTAAGTAAATTTCTGCATTGACACGTATACAGAGAAGCGTGCACATCACACGTGTACAGCTGGAAGTTTGCATATTGCACACATCTGTGTGTAGCACCCAGACTGAGAAACAGAACATTCCCAGCCCCCCGAAGCTGCTCTCCTGGCCCTTTCAGGCACGTATCCCCACCCCAGCATAATCTCCATCTGCCTTCTTACAGCGTGCATGAGGTGTGCCCGATTTTGCATGTCACGTGCATAGACACATACAGCACGTGTGCTTGCTTGTGTGTGACTTCTCTCGCTTAGCACAGTGCCTGTGAGGTTCATCCACGTTGTTGTTTGTAGCCACAGATCTATTGTTTTCATTGTTACGGATCCATGAACATTGTAGTATCTTTTGAAAAAAACCTACCTAAGGGGGTGCCTGGCTGGCTGAGTCCATAGAGCATGCAACTCTTGATCTCCGGGTTGTGAGTTTGAGCCCCATGTTGGGAGTAGAGATTATTTAAACAAAGAAACAAAAGCCTATATAAGTTAACACATATGGTATAGGAAATTGGAAAATACACTAAGATGTTCATATACAATCAAAATCACTTGAACACCCCATAACCCATAGGAGATAATTTCTGTGAATATTTGGTTCTGTTTTTTTCTAGACTAAAATGTACCTTATTTTCCCACTTGTTTTAATTGATTTTTATTATGCTAGTAATACGTGAATACATTCACGTACATTCTTCATCAGCAATGCAGATGAAGAAATACATCTCTTGTGATACCCTTCTCCCAAATTCCAGACCCTTCCTAAGAGGATACTGCTGCCATTTTGGTTTGGATCCATCTAGATTTTTTGCACGAGATGCACTTATATTGTCTATATACGAACTTTTTTTTTTTTTTTTACTTAATAGACTTTATTTTTTAGAAAAGCTTTAGGTTTACAGATAAATCGAGTAGATAATACAGAGAGTTCCCGTATACCTCCCCGCTCCTTTCTCCTGTTATAAACATGCTGCATTGGTGTGGTACACTTGTTACAATTGATCTGCCGATGTCAGTACGTTACTATCAATGGAAATCCATGTTGACATTCAAGTTCACTCTGAATAGTATGGTTGTACGTATTTTGGTAAACGCACGGTGATGGATGTTCACCTTTACGGTACTATACAGCAGTTTCGCTGCCCTAAACAGTGTGCTTTTTGTTTTGTTTTTTTTTTTAAACATAAATAAGACCATAGCATATGGATTGTTTGCATCTTGCTCCCTTTGCTTAACAGCTAGCCTTGGAGAATTTTGGATATTGCCACGTTCAGTCCGCCTTTTAACAGCCGATGTGAAACTTTTAACTAGTTCTCAGTTGAGGATTTGGGCCATGTCTAGGTCTTTGGTGTTTCATTCGGTGCTGTGGCAAGACAAGTGGGCCCCCAAGTGGAAATGCTAGGTTAAAAGATGGACATAAGTAGGAGTGCCTGGGGGGCTCAGTCGGTTAAGTGTCTGACTCTTGATTTTGGCTCGTTGTGATCTCAGGGTTATGAAATGGAGCCCCTTGTCAGGCTCTGCTGAGCACAGCGTCTGCTTGCCCTCTCCCTCTGCTTCTCCCCCTACTTGATCGCTCTCTCTCTCAAACAAATAAATAAATAAGTAAATAAAATCTTAAAAAAAAAAAAACAAAAGCTGGATGTCATTAGCGGTGCCTGGGTGGCTCAGGTGGTTAAGTGTCCAACTCTTGATTTCAGCCCAGGTCTTGATCTTGGGGTTGTGAGTTGAAGCCCAGCGTTGGGCTCCTCGCTGGGTGTGGAGCCTACTTTAAAAAAAAATTAAAAAGATGGGCATAATTAAACATTTTAGACTCTGGATACACACAGCCAAATTGTCTCCAAAAGTGGCTGGTCCGGTTTACACTTGTCCAGAGTCTGTGAGCGTGTCAGCTCGCCTTGCCAGCACTGGGTGTTACGTTCATTTCAGTTTTTTGCCATTCCGATAGGTGATACATGACATCCTGGGCTGAGCTCCCCACCCCTTTGTATTAACTTTACTGATGGCAAGCTTAAACACACCTTTAGGATGTATATATTGGGGGGTCTGGACAAACCCGCGCAGTTGTGTGACCACCACTCAGTAAAGATGGAGACCATTTCCGTCCCCCCAGGCAGTCCACTGTGCCCCTTTGTAGTTATTCTTCAGGCAACCACTCTTCTTAGTTTCCTTCCCGTTAGGTTAGTTATGCCTGTTCTAGAAGAAAATATAAAACTGCACTAATTTTTAAAAATTTCTGGTAGTAAAAAAAAAAATTCTGGTTGTTTATTTATGTTTTGGTTTATTTTCTTGAGGTGGAATTCATATAGGGTAAAGTGAACCATTTTAAAGCGAACAATTCAGTGGCATTTAGAATATTCACACTGTTGTGTATCCACCACCTGCATCTAGTTCCCAGATACCTTCATCACCCCAGAAGGAAACTCCAGGAAGCAGTCACTCCCCAGTCCCCTTTCCCACCAGCCGCTCATGGCCTGGTTTACTAAAATATCAGAATGGACGGAGGCTCCCCCTGAGGCTTGCTGCTCCCTACCTCGAGGCTCTGGCTCTTGGGTTGGGGTGCTGGGGTCCCCAGGTGGGCTGATCTGACCTGCACCCCCGCCCCCTGCGGGGCTCACTCTCCCCCCACAGAAAACTCTCCCCTGGCTCCTGGCAACAAGCTGGTCTTCTCGTCCTACCCTGGCACACTCTTCTCCTGTGACGACTTCTACATCATGGGCAGTGGGCTGGTGAGTGTCCCTCCCGAGTGTGGCCTTTCTTCCCCTGGGCTGTGGGTCACCCGGCAGCTCTGGGCAGGTGGGTGGGCGCAGCCCCCACCACCATCCCGCGCTGGGGCCTCTTCTGCTGTGGTACTTGGACCACTGGGGAGGGCCGGGTGGCTTCTTAGAATCGGATTCCCAGTCCCCGCTGGGGCCCGCCAAATCCTGCGGCCTCCCCGGACTCTCCATTCCACGAGCCAGCTCCTCAGCAATCAGCTCCTCAGCAGTCGCTGCTCTTGGGGCCCTTTTGCAATATCCTTGACCTTGACCTTAGTGACCCCCGTTTTGTTTGGCTGTCTTTAGCATAAGCCGTCCCTCCCTCCATCATGACCTTGCTGTTTGTCATCCTGCCTCCCCTCCTGCCTTCCTCAAACTCCCTCCAACCCGGCCAGGTTTTCTGAATAAGTTGTTTACAATGTGTTGTTTTTATTGGATTTCCTGGCTGAGGCCCAGGCTCGTTTAGAAATCTGTTCCTGGCACCCCTCGCTGGGGCATTGAGCCCTGAGATTGCAACATGCAGAGAAGAAAACATCGCTCTAAAAAACACGCTCCAAGCAGAAGATGCTAGTTTCCCTGCGGGAGCGGCACCAAGGGACTCTTTCCTGCTAGGCTACCTTCTGAGAGAAGTGAGGGGCTTAGTCCCCTGAAATGGGGAAAGAGGCGGGTGAGGGCCAGGTTGTAGGTGAGGGGACCCCCTTGCTGCAGTCCGGCGGGGGCAAGGAGGGGACAGTCTGGGGAAGGACAGCTGAGGAGGTCTCATCCAGTTACCTGGGAGGGATCCCGGCGGGAAATGTACCTTCCGTTGGGGTCTCTAACTGTTGTTATGCCACAGAGCCCTTTGGCAGTCTGGGGGGCTGTGAACCCCATCTCAGAGTAACGTTTTCAAATGTATAAACCAAAATATATGGGATCATAAAGGAATTCAGTGATATTAAAATGTGTTTAGCGAAATATTACATAAATAACCTTTTAATGTTATATATGCGCTGCTTTGTGCACTTACTAAATAACAAGCTCTGGGAGCGGGTGTGCTAACTACCATAACTTCGAAGGAACAGGGAGCATAAATGATGTTTTCAGATGGGTGCAGCCCTGTCATGTGGTGGGAACACATCTGATCTCTGTTGGTGACAGGTCTCAGGTACCACTCATGTCACAGTGGCGGGTCACCCGTGCTCACAACGCCGGGAGGTGCTGAGTTCCAGTTTGGTGGCAGTGGGAAGGAAGAGGTGGTGTTTTCCCCTCCAAGTCTGCAGACTCCCTGAGTACTACCCCAGGTTCAGAACTACCCCCGGCCCGAGAGGGCAGACTGCCTCCCAGGGCTTTCTGGGCCACACTGACCTGCACCCTGGCAGTGACTCTGGGTGCCAAGAGCAGCTGGGTGAGGGGCGAGGAAGGTGCAGGCTGGAAGGACTGGAAGCAGGTGTTCCCACCCGGGCGGGGCTCTCTAGAGGCTTGCCTTCCAGATTCTTCTTTTAAACATCACATTTATGGCTCTTGCTATCTTTTAGCTGGTTTTTGGACTTCGTAAAAGGAGGAAGCATGCTAATAATCCTGGTGTAGAGGAACGAGCATTGATTTAAGAGCTGGAAGTTTGCTGATGGAACAGTGGCCCATCCCCTGACCAGCCATGACCTTTGGCACGTCTCTTAGCTTCTTCAGGCCTCAGTTTACCTTTCAGTAAAAAGGGGCATTAGTAGGCATGCTGGGTTTTTCCCAGGAGGGCTGGAAGAATTCAGTGAGACTGTGGCAGTCTACCAGGCTAACAGCCTCGAGCCACCCGACTTTCCCCGCAAAACTGCAAGGAAGGGATAGAGATAGGATGCTGTCTCTCCGGGGAAGGAGTTGACTGACTCGGTTGGGGGATAGTGTCCATAGGAGCAGCACCTTGGGCTCTCCCAGGGCCTCTTCCCCAGGGCAAAGCTAGATGCATGATCGTGAATCCCCCTCAGCGCTCAGCCAGGGAACCAGTGAGGAATGTGCACCCAAAGCAGCACATGAGGTTTTAAAAAACTGTAATCAGTGTACGGACCATGATTGATGCAGCACTGCCACTTGGTGGCAGCATGCCCTGGTCCTAAGTCAGGGGCCCTCCCACAGGTGACACTGGAGACCACCATTGGCAACAGGAACCCGGCCCTCTGGAAATATGTGCATCCCAAGGACTGCGTGCTGGAGTGGTTGCGTAATGTGGTGGCCAACCGCTTGGCCTTGGACGGGGACGCCTGGGCAGACACCTTCAAGAGGTTCAACAGTGGCACGTGAGTGGGCTCTTGGCACTGTGGCCTCCTCACCCAAGAGATGGGCCAACCTCCCGCCTCAACAGTCAGAGCCCAGGGGACCTGATGTGGCACCAGGGCCACATGCCCCACACCCTCTGCAGGGCCCTCTCACAGTTACTGCTGGAGTTGGAAGGTGTCTTAAAGTCTTCTCCCTTGTTTTATACTTAGGGAAACTGGGTCTTTGCCTCTCTCCTGAAGGCTCTTCCATCCAGGGAAGGGCCCCCAGAGGGAGGCCAGGAAGAGAACTTGGGATTTGAGGGCTCTGGAGATGGGGAGGGCCATCTGAGCAAGTGGGCACAGGTGGGTGAGGGCCCTGGGAGCCAGAGACACTGGAGCTGGATGGTGCAGGGTCTTAGAATGTCAGGCTAAAGAATTAAGATCTTTATTCCAATAAGCACTAGGGAGCTATAGACTTCTCTGGGGCAGACAGAGGACACCTGGTCAAGCTGCAGTGTTAGGGTGACAGGTGGCAGGACACCCCCCATGCCACCCCTTCCCCTTGATTCCTGGCAGTGTGGGGCACTGGGGCATGGGGGAGGCTGGGGCCGTGGCCCCGGCCCCAAGGTATGTTCAGTCCTTCCTTGGGCATGGCAGGTACAACAACCAGTGGATGATCGTGGACTACAAGGCATTCATCCCTGGCGGGCCCAGTCCCAGGAACAGGGTACTCACCATCCTGGAGCAGATCCCGTGAGTACCCTGGGAAGGAAAGCAGGGGGTTCCAGGCAGAGGGAACTGCCTAGGAAAAAGTCTGGAGGCTTGCTGGAATGTGTGTGGGAAGGCGAACATCTGAGGAAGGCCAGGTGGGAGGGGGAGGCAGCCCCTGAACGGGGTGAAGGGTCCAGGACCTAATCTACCTCTGGGCACTGGGGAGCCATCAGGGGTTCTTGAGCAGGGCAGTGCCCACAGGTGCCCTTTTTCTCACCAGTCTTGCCCCATTTCTCTTCTTGGTCCCAGGGGCATGGTGGTGGTGGCCGATAAGACCTTAGAACTCTACCAGAAGACCTACTGGGCCAGCTACAACATACCGTATGTCCCCATCCCTGCCCCATACCTGCCTCACCCCTACTCAGTTCTCTGTTCTGGTCAGGGGTCCTTCCCTGCATGAGCTTTTCAACCCGCAGAGCAAAGAAGTCACCCTGGCCTGTCTTTGGCCGGGAAAGCCCTGCCAGTTTGGGGGCACAGTGGTGGGGCTTAGGTCTGCGGCCCACAGTGTATGGGGGTGGGGGTGGCCAGGCTCAGGTGCCGACCCCTGCCGAGGCTCCCCCACTGCGTCTCCTGTAACCGGGCCGCACAGCCATCACCTCTGGACACTCACTGTGCCCTGGCAAATGAGAGATTCGGTCCTTAACAACCACCGCACGGTAGCCACGGCCGCTGTTCCCATTTCACAGATGAGGAAACTGAGGCCTCCAGCAAATGCCTAACTTTCCCCAGGCGAATTCCCCAGCTGTTCAGCGATGAAGTCAGCATCTGAACCCATGTCTCTTGGCCCGCAGAGCCTAAGCTTGGTCACCCAGGCAAGCCATCCCCCGGCATAAACAGAAGACAGGACTTGCTGTCCTGTCGTGGTTGTCAGTGATAATGTTCTGGTGTGACGGCCCCTCTGCCTCCCCGGCCGCAGCCAGCGTGGGCAGGGGTGGTGAGTGACCATCCTTATCCCCCGCAGGTACTTTGAGAGTGTGTTCAATGCCAGTGGGCTGCAGGCCCTGGTGGCCCAGTACGGGGACTGGTTCTCCTATGATGGGAGCCCCCGGGCCCAAATCTTCCGGCGGAACCAGTCGCTGGTGCATGACCTGGACTCCATGCTCCGGCTCATGAGGTGCGTGGGGGAGAGCGAGCCCCGAGTCCTGTAGAGCTTTGCGTGCACGTCTCTGGGCCCCGTGTCTACCTCGCCATGAGCCCGGGGGTCATAGGGCGGTGGCCAGCCGTAACTACACGTTACAGGTGAGGGTGCTGACCTGCCGCTGAGTGGCCCCCTCCCCGGTGCTGGGCACTGTGCTCGGTACCGGAGGAGCGGCACGAAGCGGAGAGCCCCCTGGCTGTGGCTGGAGATGCGAAATCCGTCAAGCACTCACACTGATGTGGGTGCCGGGGCGAGGACGGAAGGAGCCCCTAGAACTGCTATGAAGGGGCACAATGGGCTATCTAGCCTGGATTGGGGTTGGGGGCCCGGAGGGGCCCTGGAGGAGGGCTGCCTGAGCAGATGTGAGGGTGGGCATGGAATGACGAGGTGAAAGGTGAAGGAAGCCCCCCGCTGGGGGTGGGGGGGTGGGGGGGAGCTGGGCACGGGAACGCAGGTGCCTTGTTTTGGGGCTGCCGCCACCAGGAGCTCGGCCTCCCCTTCCCAGCACTCCCGATGCCCCCTCCTTTCCCACGTCCAGGTACAATGACTTCCTGCACGACCCCCTGTCGCTTTGCAAAGCCTGCAACCCCCAGGCCAACGCAGAGAACGCCATCTCGGCCCGCTCTGACCTGAACCCAGCCAACGGCTCCTACCCTTTCCAGGCCCTGCACCAGCGCTCCCACGGGGGCATAGATGTAAAGGTGCTGCCCTGCCCGGGGCCTGGCGTGGGGGGGCTTGGATGCCATCATTGCTGGGGGGGGTTGGGGGGGGAGGATGAAGGCTGGGGTCAGGGCAGATGGTGGGGTGGGGGGCAGGGTTGGCATGGGGCTGCAGGTGGGGTCAAAGTTAGGGCTGGGATCAGGGCCCTCTGGATTGGGGCAGCTCCAAGGCCAGCCTGGGCTGGTGCTCAGTGACCTCTGCCCCGGCCCCCAGGTGACCAGCATGGCACTGGCCAGGGCCTTTCGCATCATTGCCGTCAGTGGCCCTACGTGGGACCAGCTGCCTCCGTTCCAGTGGAGCTCCTCGCCCTTCAGTGGCCTGCTGCACATGGGCCAGCCTGACCTCTGGAAGTTCTCGCCCATCGAGGTCTGGTGGGACTGAGTCTCCTTCTCTGCCCTGCTGAGCCCCAGTGGGGCCGCCCTCGGCCGCCACCCTGACCTCCTGCCCGACCCTCTGTGGGCTTCGTCCTCTGCTGTGCCTGGGTCAGGGACCTGGGTCTGCCAGGTTCACTCTCATCTGGGTTGGCTCTTCGGTGGGACGCGCGGCCCAGCGGGGCCCGGAACTGACTCGTTCGCTCCCCTTAAGTGAGGGAGTGCCTCCCCTGTCCCCTGCCTCTCTGCCTCTCTCTCTCTCTATTCTCTCTCTACTCTGGCTGCTTCTCTCTTTCTCCTATGCTGGGGTCCTGTCCTCACATGCTGCCCCCTCTTGAGGGCTTGGGAGGGGTCCTCGGATGGGGTTTCGGGCCGCTGGTAGAGCAGAGGGGGCCGTCCCAGTTCCTGCCTCTCAGTGTCATTGCTGCCGGTGGCTCTGGGACTTGTGGGGTTTCGGCCCCAGGACTGGGCATTGCCTCTGGTTGACATCGGTCTTTCCAGCTCCCAGCCCCAGCCACTCTGCTCCCTCAGGAAGCAGCCCCCTTGTTTCCCCTTCTGGACAGCTTTCCTGAGGACAGAAACTTGAAAACAAACAAAAACCAAAGTTTCTGGTGACTTGTGGCTGGAGGGGGTCTTCAGGGGCAGACAAGAGTGTCAGCCTCTATGCTGCAGCCTCGTGCCCCCTGCCCCCAACTTGGTCCTGCTCCTGGCCTCAGGACGGTGCCCACAGCTCCCCTGCTGTAAGAACCAAATTGCAGGCTGTGCTGCCATTAAAGGAGAGGCTGTGGCCCCTGAGCTGTGTTTTTTGGGTAGTGGGGAAGGCTGGGCTGGTGCCCTTTCTCCTCTTTGGTTTGGGTTCTACACCATCCACCCATGCATTCTCCTGTCCATTCTTCTGTCTACTCATCTGTTATTTATTCATCTGCTAACCCACCTACCCATTGTCCATCTGCACAGTCTTCCACCCATCCATTCATCTACTCATCTGTCCATCCATCCACCCACCCCCCCAACCACCCATCCATTCACCTATCCATCCATCCATCCAGCCACCCATCCAGCCAGCCAGCCAGCCAGCCAGCCAGCCACCCACCCACTCACCCAGCCACCCATCCATCCATCCACCCATCTATTTATCCATCTCTCCACCCACCCAACCACCCATCCATCCATCCATCCATCCATCCATCCATCCATCCATCCATCCATTTTCTGTCTACCCATCTATTCATCTGTCATCCCTCCATCAGTCCATCTGTCTATTCATTTATCTATATCCATCTGTCCATCCATCCATCCAGATGTTCTTGAGCACCTACTTTGTTCTGGGTACTATCCCAGGGCCTTGTTAACCAACAAGACTTTCCCAAGTTCCACTGTGGGATACAGGTCAACACAAAACAGAGTCTGTCACCATCTGATCTTAGCCAGCTGGTCGACCCCAGCCCTCCACGCCTCAGCTCTTACAGTGGACAGAGGGGTCTGCCTTGCCTTTTGGGGGGTTTTGTGCTGATTCAAGTGGGACAGTTGAGGCTGGAAGTGATCTTCTGGGCAGGTTTTCTTCAACTGAGCACCACTCTATCCCCCAGAAAGAATTCTGGAGCCAAAGGGCTGATGGTTTGCTGTCCTTGCCAGCCTGCCTTTGATGTCCCATTCCCTATAAAATACATGTCTGTCCCTCCTGGCTGGAAATCAGTGGATGAGCCTGTGTCCAGGGTGGGTTTGGGGTGGGTTTTACACTCTCCCCTGTATCTCACAGCCCCTGCTGTTTGTCGGGGTGGTTAGGGGCTCTGTAGGCCCGTGTGGATCTACGTCATGTCTTGAGGGGCTAGAGGGGTCTCAAACTTCACTCTGAACTTGGAGATTCAGTGAGTTGCCTGGGGCTGCTATGGGTGGTGTGGTGGTGTCCCCTCCCAGACCTCGAGGAGCCCTGGCAGGCCGTCTTCTGTTTCCATATGCTGGCGTCAACACATGCTTTCCTTGGAAAACAGGGTTTCATGTCTGAGAGGGTTTGCATGGCATTCACTTCAAGTCTTTTCCTTCTGAGTCCCTGACATGGGTGTCCAGTGTCAGTTTACACACCCCCAGTGATGGGAGGCTCACTACTCTGCTCCCAGTGGTTCTGAGATCAAGTCCTTCTGAAATCAGGAAGGACTTCCTGTCAGAATGAGGCCAGCCTCCTCTGCCTCTTGGGCTGGGGGTTGGTTCTGCCTCCAGGGGAGGCAGCCCTTGCCCCAGCTCTTGCTCAGCTCCCTCCCTTCCTGCTTTCTGTCTCCCGGCATGCAAGTCCAGCTGCGAGCAGGGTCCTGGCCCCCATGTCCATGGGGTGCCAAGGTTCCAGGGGGCAGGGTGCAGGGCTACAAGCAGGGAGGTGGGAGGAGGGGAGGGAGGGAGGCAGAAGGAGAAACTCAAAGGATCTTCATTTCATAAATACGTTTTTTTCATTTTCAATGAAAAAGCTGCAATTAGAAAAATGACTGGGGGTGGGCAGGGCCAGGCTGGGCTTCCTGGGGGAGAGGACAGGTGGTTCTCAGTCCTGGACCACGGCCCTGTGCGTCTTCCAGGGAGGAGGCCCGTCCTGCTGCAACCCCTGTGCCTCCTGCCCACCCTCGCTGGGGACCCGGTATGGGACACACAAGTGGCCGTCACCAGCCACGGTGGCTAGGGACAGTCACAGAGCTGCTGCACAGAGGCCCGAGAGGTTCAGTTCACAGCCTTGCTGGCTGCCGGCCCGGCTCCCCCTTGGAGCTGCGGCCCCTTGGCACAGTGGGCTCGTGGGACCGAGAAGGGAACTGACTGGTCTGGGCTGCAGGCTCCCAGGCAGACACAAGGATAATACTTAGAGCGAGGTGCTGGATAAAACTCCAGCTCCACCAGGGGTGCCCCCGGGAGGGAAGGCAGAGGGGCGGGGAAGGGCCCTCACTTGGGCAGCCCATTCTTCATGCCCAGCTGTTCCTTGAGGGCCCGCAGCTGGCCCAGACTGATGTTGCTGCCCCCACAGACAATGACCACGAGGGAGGACAGCGGGGCCCGGAGCTTGCCCTCTCCTTGCAGCTTCTGAACCACGCGGCTGTACACGGCGGCCAGGGCTGCCCCGCAGGCAGGCTCCACCAGGATCTTCTCGTCATCTGCGGAGGAGGGGGGATGAGGGTGGGGCCCGGGTGCAGGGGCACTGTTGGGCCATTGGGAAAGCCTGAGGGCTGTGAGCCACTCGGCTCTCGGCCCTGGCCACAGACTCAGGTCCCAGGCCAAATGTCCCCTCACTACCCCAGCTTGACCTCCCAAGTCCTGATCCATGGCTAGGTTTCGTTATGAGTGCGCGCACTGATAAAATGATTGTAACTTCCTGAGCTCTGTGTTGAGAAGGCTCGAATCATCATCCGAGCAAGACTGCCATGGTTGATGAGCCAAACTGAGTGCTAGTACAGGGGCTTAAGTGGTAGCGTTAGAGTTTACCTCGTGTGCGTGTGTGTGTACGCGTGCGCGTGCACATCATCCCTGTGCTAGGCTGAACCCAGGAGTCCAGCCTACTTACAGACCCATTTCTGAAGCCAACCCTGCGGCCCATACTTTCCGTTTCCCCCCTCGGCTACTAGGAAGCTCAGAGTCCGCATTTTAAATACTTTGTTATTATTCCCTGCTGTCATGGTTGTCAGGCTTACTTCTTCACTTGTGGCTTTGACCTTTCTCTTTTCACCGCTGCATTGTATTACCTTTCATTAGTGGGAAGTTCTAGGAAGGGATGGGAAATAGGACTGTGAAGAAAATTTGCAGTGAATGGGATCTCTTAGGACACCGCGTGGACAGTTAAGTCCTGAACCAGCAGGTCAGGTCTTGAAAGGACTCGGCACGTACCCACAAACTTCTCAATGGCGGCCACAGCCTCCTGGTCCGAGATGACTTCAGAGAAGATGGGGTGCTCCTGAAACAGCTTCAGGGCCTGAGCCCCCACGGTCTTCACGCAGAGGGCCTTGGCCACACTGGGAGAGCGGGCATGGAAGAGGATGGGAATGGGGGAAACGGAGGAAGGAGCCGGAGATTGGGATGAGGAGGGATAGAAAGAGAAAGATGGATTTGAGAGGGAAGACGGAAGCAGCGTCTGTGGGCAGGTGCAAAGCACTGAAAGGCCCCAGGGGATCCCCGCCAGAGTGAAGTCTTCGAATAAGGCACAGAGGCTTCACTGGGGGTAAAGAGCTTATTGTGCTCAACACCGACTGAGCAACAAACACCTGAGAGGCCCCTTGCGATTCCCGGAAAGGACACTGCCTGCCCAGGGCCTTGCCCTGTCCTTCAGGGCTCAGTGTTAAGGCCACCTCCTCCAAGGAGTCCTCCAGGGAGAGCACTCAGTCCTCCCCCGTGACACAGGCATAGTGACTATTTCTTGAGGAAGTATTAGGTGTCAAGGATTTTGCAAGCATTATTTAATTCTCACAACTGTTTTTGCTGTTCGTTGGTTGGATTTTATGGGAGAGGAAACCAAGGTAGAGACCGTGTGGGTCACTTGCCTGAAGTTACGTGCCTAGGGAGTGGTGGTGCAGGCACCTCAAGCAGGATCCTTGTAATTCCGGGACCGGCACTCGTAATCAGTGCGTTCACTCCCCCTGCCTTCCGTGGAGTCTTCACTGGTTCTATTCCCAGCTCGCCCAGGAGCACCTGGGGCCTGAATCACCTTTGCCCTAAGCCCAGCATGTGGCTCACGACAATTATTTCCTCAATCCCAACAGTGCAGGATCAGAGCCCAACATGGTGGCTCCTGAGAGCCAGGCTCAGGAATCCAGAATCCTGGACTCAGTCTTCCCTATCTGTGGTAAGGACTTGTCTACCCAATATCTGTTCTAGCTGCACAAGTGGAGACCTGGTAGGAAGGCATTTCCCAGCCTCCCTTGCAGTAGCTGTGGCCATGTGACTAAGTTCTGGCCAATGAGAGCTAAGTGGAAGTACTGCATCTGTCTTTAAAGGGAAGGGGCATCACTTCTGCCCTCCCTTTCTCCTCCTGCCAGATGGAGTGTGGGTGTGATAGTTGGCACTTAAGCAGCTATTTTGGGTCATAGGGCTACATGATAAGGAGAATGGAGAACAAA